AAAAAAAAAAACAAATAATGAATAAATAAACCTTAAAATTTGACCTTTGAAAATGACAGAAAAATCGAGAATTCAGAATTACAGTAGAACATTCACAGAAGAAGTGCCTTGAAACAGCAATCTAGTCTTACGAGTTTCTCCGAAACTTTTAAAGTTTTAAATTCCCGAGTTGCGAGATATGTTCAGGAATCCTAACACATCTGGGAATCCCGACTCATTCAGGAATTCCGATACACTCGGAATGTATCATTAACCTAACAATTTCAGAGTCTCTACGCGCATTTTTAGAAACATCCGTAAACAATATTCAGAAATATTATTTAAAAATTCAGATTAAAAGTTTAATCGAAACGAAGGTAGCAATGAACTTTCAAAATCATTAACCAAATATAAAACAAACAAAATCATTAATGATTGGCTTTCGATGCCAATTGACAGTCTTTGTTAATAATTCAAGAATTGGATAATCTTTTCTACAACAATTTAATGACTCATGATGTCACAGAGTCTGCTTCATGGAAAAGAGTCTCTCTTCTCTTCTTAGCACGTATTTTTATAATATAATTTTGTCTATGGTAAATCAGAGAGGGAGAAAAAGAAAGCGTGGATGATCAATTAGTGGAATTTGGCCTGTGAATAACTGTTCACAGTTCATTTCAAAGAGACTGTTACTGAATCAGTGTTAGCAATAGCAAAATTTATTTGTATTGAGTATGTATAACAATAGTATGATTGGATGACCAATCAGTCAGCTCAGTGCCAATATTGTCAGGCCTGATTGGTCATCCAACAATACTATTGTTATACATACTCAATACAAATAAATTTTGTGTATAAAGAGAGTAGTATAGATCATGATGCAATTGTATAATAAATATGTTTCATTTACTTATATCTCCATTACCTTATTCTTTTATTTCACAAATCATCCTTTACAAAATCTCACAAACTGAAGGATTTGCAGTAATATTAAGATTGCACTTATTGAAAGAAAAAAGAAACAATCTGGTACTACTTCAAATATTATAGTAAAAGCTAGTATAATGAAGTAGTAACAAAGTAGTAGCAAAAACTAAAAAGAAAAAAGAAAAGATCTGCTAGGTGTTCAGATGAAATAAAACACTTTCTAGTATTAAGTATACGTTTTACTTTTATATTCTTTAAATGTAATACTTAATTTTGTGTATGCCTCTTTCCTTCGATACAGTAATATAATATAGATATACGTACATCTGCGTATTTCGTATTTTTTTGTATGAGTAAATTGAGATAATCTTTGTTACAGAGCAGTAACTTTGACATCTTCTCACTTTTTTATCAATTAAAAGCACTTCTTCAACGGTACGTACGTATTTCATTCTAATTACATATACAAAAACTCAGAGAGAACCCCTTACCACATGTATTTTCTAAACAACGAAACTAATGATGACATCTGCAAATTTACAGTGATTAATGTAGCCTACTAAATTTCATATGTTAGTTACAATATCACGTGTAAGTATTGTTATACAAGTAGAATTTAAAAGTACTGTTTTCATATGCAACGGATCTACAGAGGATAAATCGTGGTTTATGTTATTTATTAGTAATTTATTAGTAAGGGGTTACAAACAACACAATGAACACTCATTTTTATACGTATGACTGCCAAACGTTTTTCATTCTCTCGCGAACGCCAAACACAAAACTTTCACGATTTTTGTAAAAAATATGGAGATGCAGAATCACGAGGAAGATCAAATAAGTCAGATAAATATATTTGTTCTCGTATATATATATATATACAAATTGTTCTACAATAATATCAAGGAACAATATACTTATTCAATTGATGACTTTTAGTTGATCTATTCTCATATCACGAATCATTGCGAGTTTGGTTAAGGCCGCCTTTCGAAATTCTTGCCTTTGTATTTGCCACTCTTACAACTCTACCTACTATTTTAAATCTGTCGGTTTCATGCATATAATAAAAAGCTGATGATCGCGTATTATAGAATAGCTCAAATTGTCAAGTATAAAGATATTATCAATGAGATATAAGAAATGATGGAGAGAGACTTTTAACTTTAGATTTGTAACATTAATGAAAAAAAAAGAAATAAAAATCGTATGTTAAAATTATAAAGTATAATGATCAACAGATACTTTGACATTGATTGTTTTAAGAACAAATCATAATTCCTCTTTTATCTTGGATTTTACAATATTCGATACGTATAAATAATGTAAATTTTCAGTATTTGAGTCGAAATTATATTAACAATTGAAACAATTGAATTAAACAGCTATAATGTTATGGGTCACGAGCACGAACAATTTTATTATTGCACATGAAAACCGACACTATCGTAATACGCGCATAACACTTATTTTCAACCATCAAATTATAATTACAAAAATATGTATATATTGTTGTATGCAACTCACAAGATTCTTTTCACTTCCGACTTTTACCGATGCGTCGTCGACATGTCGCGATAATAAAGCGAATAGTAAATATTATACCATATGGCGTTAAAGCTTGCGGCAGCACTGTTATTTTTTAAAGCTACTTTATTTATTTGTCACTCATACACCATGTTTCATGGTAATCCGATAAATTCATGCAGATTTAAGACATCTCGTCAATGTTACTATTTGTATGAAACGACTTGGAAAGTACACGTGTTAAAACAATTTTTATAATCCGAGAAAACGACGAATTACAGAAATGTCACAGTGTATCGAACAATTTTGAATTCTACCTCGAAACTAGTCTATAACATGCTGCAATTTCTTTGAATAATGTATGTATTTCCAAGTACATCACAAGCCTATTATATAGTAATTCACAATTTCTTCGAATCCTCGAACTTTCCTTTCTCATGAAAGGTCTGGCATGAGTAATCGTAACAAGAGGAAGACCTTAGAAATTTCTACCGGCACGTTAAGAAATACAAATTATCAACATGTTTCATCTCACGCATCCTTCCGTGATATACATAGTCTCTATTTTACGCGAGTATTTTACAAATCTAATGTCGAAAATACGACAGTAATAGTAAACTTCAACGTCGTTTTATATATATATATACAGAGTGACAATCCAAGAAATATTGGCTTCCTTGCGCGGGACAAATACATCTCTAAAATGGTTACAGTTTTTTTATCATCTGGAATGAATAAAAACCTGTATCTTCTCATAAATACACGTAGCTCTGGGCGAAGCACTGGTTGTAACGTGTATCAGAGCAACATGATTGCTCGCGTTGCCCAAAAACTTTCAAAACGTTTATTGCAACGAAACAACATTCATCTGATAATACCATCTAAAATCCTGATTTAAAATCCTTCGATTTTAGATATTATCTAATCGCGTCGTCGTTTGCAAAAATATTTCGTCACGATCGAACTATATTTATATTTATTCCTTCCCTTCTTTCGTCAGTGCTGCTTTCCCTATTTATCATCATTTTTGAACGAGCAGCTACAGGATGATTAATATAATTCGATTTCGATCGGAGACAGTGCTAATTTGCCAGTGACTACAAAATGGCACGACTCGTTCAGCAGCCGCGCGACACAAAATATTTCAGCAAACTCCTTTCTTAGAGAAAGTCGTTGCTCTACCATTGACAACTCTACAGAGCGTCTAACGCTTCTTTATCATCCGGAGAACGACAAATGAACACAAATGACCGTATCAGATCATTCCATAAGTTATATTGCAATGTTAATATTCGTAATATTCTTTCCATTACGTTGGCGATATTTCTGAATTACATTTCAACTTCATAAAAAGGGAAGCTAAACTACGTTTCATTGAAATGTGTGAAATCATTGGCAGCTAATGTTCTGAGAAAGAAACAATTGAAATATTAAACATCGTCTTTCAAAAGGCTCGTTATTTATGGAACAACCTAACCTAATTGTATTGCACACGACAGACAGGCATAATTCCTCTCGTAAAATCGTTCGATGCGAACAAATCGCAACAGCGTCTTAACGATAAATAGCGATAATTACAGAGAAAACAGAAGATGGGGATGAATCAGAGATGCGCGAGAACCTCGACAGCCGCCACTGGGGGTGTTTGATCGCCGCTCAAAATCACCGGCTCAGATTCTGTCTGAACGATCCTAACGAGATTCGCGTCTTTCTTCGACGGCGTAACATTCGTGTTCGACGCGATGTTTGATCTAGCGCAATAGCTCGGCGGTCTGCTTTCTCTCGTCGTGCCGGGGGTCACAATGCTTCCAGCGTTCGATCTGTAGGTCGGCGGAGGCGAGGACGTTGGCTGCAGTCGATCCAGAAGGAGCAGTCGTAGCCTGTACTCTTGCATGCTCGCCTGAAATTGCATAAATACTTGTATTAGAATAAATAGAATGTGCTGCACACTCGTCTGAAATTACATAAGTATTTATATTAGAATAAATATATTAGAATTCATATTATATAATATAATTTATATTATTTTATATTTATGTATATAATATTTAATGTATATAACATACAGA